GTCCATGCTGTTTTATTCAAATTTCCACATCTTTGATCACATATACGACAGTCACGCTTTGTAAGTGACTAAGTCACGAGAAAATTTTAAATTCAAATCTTTACATTTGTTTTAAATTTTAGTGCGAAGGACTGATCGATATCGCTAGCGGGATCAGAAGTATCTACCACGGTTTACTATATGAATAATACAAGACCGTGATGACAAATTCCTTCTATCGAGTTGTACTTAGCCTCCACAGTCGCGCTTCAATTACAGGTCTCCTGTTTCAATGAATCATCCTGTTCAATGAATGTTGGCTGCTTGAATGAACAACCAAGCAAGGAGGCATCCATCGTTCTTTCTCTGTGGTTCTCCTTGTCTGGTTTAGCAGCTGTAACAGGAAACGCAGTTGTCTTGTGGCTGTTCTACAAAAATGAGACTTTACGCACAATTTCCAACCGATTCTTAGCCTCGTTGTCTGTAGCAGACCTGTTAGTTGGACTTGTGATAGACCCTCTCTGGATCGCCTTCAGATGTTTGATCCAGCCATCAAATGTGACCCAAACCACCTTGGATAAGTTTATGGACATGTTGTGGATTCACACTACCGCGGCCACAACGCTTAACCTGTGCTGTGTTTCCGTGGATCGCTTCATAGCAATTCGGTTTCCTTTCCGTTATCTGGACATTTTAACTAAGAGAATATGTCGTAGCCTCATTGTTATGGTGTGGTTTACATCATTGCTTCTTCCTTTTCCGGTAATTTTTGTAAATGTAGAAAAACTTTGGTTGTTTATATCGCTTGTGACATTTTTCATCCCCGCAACTGTCTTGGCGGTATGCTATATTTGGATTTTCAAGGCCGCAAGTAATCAGGCCCGAAGAATAACCGGGGAAAATGTGGAAGGAGCGGACGAAAGGCAAAGCACTTCTCCAAGCCGCACAATACAAAATTATAAAGCTATCAAGACCATCGGGTTGGTGTTGGGTGTGTTTGTCGTGTCTTGGATGCCTTGTCTAACCCTATCCATTGTACACGAATTTATTGCGAAGGATCCGTGCATCGACAAAAAGTTGTACAATGTTGTATGGCCATGGATTGAGGCAGTCGCTCTTTCATCGTCAGCCATCAACCCGTGGATTTACTACTTCCGCAATAGCGATTTTCGCGAGGCTTTGCATCGCGGCATTCGACGGGTTCGGTGACTGCCCTCACAGGTAGCCCAAGCTCTGTCACAGGCTCTTTCACAGTGAATAATTAAAGAGTTTATATAGTGGTTTAGTTGGACTTGCTCTTGAGCTCCGTAAATGTAAAGTTTTGTGAAATAATCAAAGAAATAAAGTCTTATCTTCGTAGAGAGTAGTCTGTGTTGTTCTCCTCGCTATTTGAGGCCGTTTTGATGTGTTTTAGCTTGACGCCCTAAATTACCGTGCATAAAACACGGGAAGGCCGGAAACTTCTGTTGACACATGCTCGCCAAAATCGCTCGAAAACAACACTTAAATACTTTCCCCCGAATCAAAACTCGCAAGCACGAAAGCCAAATAGTTGCCCTTTAATCCCACAAAAGTCGGTTTGTCGAGCAGCCAATCCAGCGAGAATTTCAAATTAATGGCCGTTCGAAATTCTTCTAATACGTGGAAGGAACTTCTTGTGCAGTTGAGAGACGTTAAATGCGCGGTCAACCTGGAACCTAGTCAAATCTCTCTCAACGGGTCCTCCCCATAGTCTTCTAACACCAACTCCACACATACTAAGGTACCCCGGGTAAGAGGATATTTGTAAAAATCCACTGAAAACAGTGAAGATGGACAGTAACGA